AAATTTTAAATGGGTAACCAAAAGTGCAGCATAAAGTTACATATGAAGTGCAGACAGTAAGTACTGAATTTGAGATGTTAGCTCTGAAAGCTGGAAACTGTAGGGTGTGATAGGAACCTGGAACAGTCAGTTATGTTTCTGGTTCGGATGCAGAAGTGCTGGGCATATAATGTACCACGAACAGCTGCTGAATTCTTCATCAGGGTTCTTTAAATATGCTATCATGTTTGTCTCTAGAAAGAGAGATACTGTGAGATTATATTAAACTAAGAAAAAAAACCCTGAAATTCTGGGGAACTTTTTATTAGAGCRCTGTAAAGTTCTTTCTCTTGGTGTAGCAGAAAGGTTCAGAATTGAGCTTTACTGCATAGATTTGGTATTGMTGGCCAGCTGATCAGCTGATGCCAAAACCCAAATGCAGGCTCTTGTGTCTGTGCCCCTTCTGGGCTGGGTGTGGCTCTCACCTACTGAGTTCATGAGTGAGCAGAGCAAATGCCCACCAGCACACACGTGCACTCCTGGCCCTTTGAGTCTGGGATCTTGCACTCAAAGAAAGAAGTTGTTCTAAGGTTTCAACACAAATTATAAAGTTGGTGGGTTTTTTTTCAAATTATGGCTCTTACTATTGTATCTGTAAATTTGTGTACAAAGTTATTGTTCTGATATTTTGTTGGAGACCAGTTATTTTAATAACACCTGCATTATGGTAAGCTGATCGAACTAAACATCTCAGAARAATGGGAGAATCATGCCATTGCACATCTGTTGCTGATTCATTGTTTCAATGGTGAAATCCCATTTCTGTTTTCATATTTCTACCTACAATKTGCAAAGAATGCATTTTCTTACTTTGATTGCGATTTTGACATTTAAAGAAATTCTTGCTGTAATGAGGCTTCTGTGTTTAGTTCACTATGGGAACATTTCAAGCATTTACATAATTAGAATATTAAGACACTGTATATAATAGTGTAGAAAACAATTTAGTTTTTGCTTTCATTACAAAAAAAAACCAAAACAAATAAACTCAATCCAAAATGGAAACTCCCACACTCAAATCTTCTAGGTTGTACACAAAGAACAGATATATATAGAAACTTGGGAATAAAGAAGTTTTATGTACTTAAGAAGAAAGAAAGGGAAGCCTTTTATTATTCTTGCTCAGAAGATGCTCTTTTTACCTCATTAATTTTATAAGATGTGAAAATGGCTATGAGGAAAAGAGTATAAATTCTAGGGAAGATGAAGCSTATAACTGCTTTTAACAAGGCAACTGAGAAAAGATCAAACTCTTGTCCTGTTTTGAGAAAGCTGCTTGTTCTAGCTATACTGAATGCAGGAATTATAAAAACAAAATAGGATTCTTGTTAGACTCATTTGCATGTTAAATATTCTGGCTGTTTTTCCAGCTCCCAGTTATTTCAAAGCAGTCCGAGTGTCTGAGTTCTGGGAACAAACCAAATGACTTACACTCTTTGGTGTGCAGATGACCCCTTCCCTAAAAATCTGCTAGTCCAAAGTGGAGCAAGTTGATGATTGTACTCTTTGAAATCATAATGGGCTGCTGGGAGAGAAACTTTCCTTCATATCAGCTTCAGGGGTATGTGGCTGAAGAGAATATTTGGGAGGGTGCAGATAGGSAAACAGCCTTCATATGCTCAGTGATGAAAGCTTGAACATCACTGCTTCCCTCGCAGTCAAATTTGAAATGGCATCAGTGCAKAAAGCAAATCTGAAGTGCTTTAGACTGAGTTCAGTTGCTCTTGAAATCAGGCATTAGCCCACACAATCTAACATATATAAAATGTCTGTATGAGGGTGAGTTTCAGATCAGAAAGTTGGTATTTTAATAGTTAATGCTCTATATTCTAGGATGAAAAAATCTCAACCAAACCACACACAAACCCCACACAGATCTGTAGGAGGATCAGGGATTTTATCAAGTAGTATCTGTGTCAAAATAAATGAGGCAACTCATCAGAAGGAAAGTGTCCCTAATGATCCACTARCATTAATGGGCTCCAAATCCTTGCTCAGAGAACAGATCATAAACCTTCCAGACAGCTGGACAGCGTCACCTTTAATATTCAGTAACAATTGAAAGGCAAAGGTTAGGATGGGAACAGAATGAATCATTGTTATGTCGTTGTAAATCAGTAAGGGTGTCCCAGGCATTTTTTTTTTGTGCTTTGTATGCAACAGTTAGTTTTCCTTCTCAGGAAAAAAAAAAAGTAGCAGAGCTAGGAAAGGTGAGTGTAAAGGACCATTAGATCTGCAGTGAAATGGCTTTTGCACCAGGAAAAATTAGGCAGCACTCAATCAGTAAAAACTATGACAAAGTTGTGTAAAGTTGGGAATTGGAATTATGAGTAGGGCGCAATAGTTCACTGTTTGTCTGAAGAGGGGAGCTGAAAGATATCAGGCAGTRGGTTTGAAAGAAAGTGGTTTTCATGTCACATGCAATAAGGCGTGGAGCTCACTGCCACAGGATGGTAGCAGAGGTCAAAAATATAAAACTGCTCAAAACAAATGGAGAAATGCAGAGAACGGTGTGTCTTGGGGTGCTCCAGAGGCTGGAGCAGTACATCAGGCTTGGTAGATACATTGGTCCTCTTTCAAAATCCTTGATTTTCTTTTTCCCTGCAAAGTTTCCCTTGAGTCCTGCTGGGAAGCGCTAGTGCGCGGTCTGTTTAATTGCGTCAGGTCACGTAGGCGCCTCGCTGTGTACCTGTTGGGCTCTCCTGACTGCATGAGGGCTGCCTGCCACACCCAAGTTCCCTGGAAGCCCCAGAGATATCCTGTTTGATTTCTTTTTTCCCCTCGTGTGAACTTGGCAGCGAGCAGTTCCAATGACACGGAGCTTGTGTGCAGCCAGGGCCCAGGAACAGGGTGGGGATTGCRGTGCAGAGAAGGTCTTGAGGATCTCATCTGCAAGTGTGGTCCAAGAATGAGGTATTTGGCAGGAAACCTTTCTTCCCCACTCTTAGTGGGGAAATTAGTGTTCCTCATTTCTGGAGGGGACAGGGCAGAGAGCTGYTTGTCCTTTCTCCCACTCCCCTTTTTCCAGGAACAAGAAGCACATTCCTGGTAGGTCCATTCAGGTGCTTCTCTGTTCCTGCTGTTAAACCCCAGCATTAGGGGAATCAGTAGGTTCCTCAAAGAGGCTCCCTCAAGCTCTTAGGTTTCCTAAATGATAGAAAATTGTTCATGTTTTATGTTTCAGCATGTAGAAGCAAAACTACTTTTTTTTGTAGCTTTTGTATCCAAATTCTGTTGTGCTTAAAAGGAAAAAAAAAAGTGACTCTAGAATACACATAATTAGGAAGTGCATAGAAATTAAAAAGACAAGGATATTTAAGTAAGCATTATTTTAAGTAGTGTTCAAGTAGTTATTTTAAGTATTTTGAGTTTTCTTTTTCAGAGAACAATTAATGTAATGAATTTTATCTTTTTGCCCTTGTTTTTCTGAACCATAGGACATAGTTAGGAATTTTCAGSAATATATGTTTCAAGAAATGTAATGTATAAAGATTTTATGCATTATAAACATCTATATACTATTATTTATCTGACCTGGCTGCATCAATTTATTTTTATGTGTGTGATCCCTGGATGCATTTTTCCTTTTTTCTGCCAACTAGTTTGATGAATAGGTCAGCCACAACCCTTCATAATAACTTTTTTTAGGCTATCCCACCTTTTCAGGYAGGTTGAGCTGAGGAATTTTCATACACCTAGATTTCTTCCACCCACGTGGGTGTGGTGGGATTTAATTTAGGTGCCATGGGAGTTCAAAGCAAGTGCTGCTATTTCTATTTCCACGTCTAAATCACTTGTACCTGGTGTACTCAGAACTGGAAGCAGGCGGGTTGTGTTCTGGGCTGCTCATCTGGTTTTTCCCAGGGTAGTGCTGGGAATCAGAAGCTGAATGAAGATACTTTGTGGTGCATTCCTGGCCTGTAARCCTGACAGGAGCAGGAGCATTGGATAATAATACGTTCATTTAAACAATGCTAATAATCAGTGTCCATTCTTGGGGTGTGCAAACTGGAATGTGCAATGAGCTGCAGGTACAAGGGAGCCTTGATAATTGGGGAACAGTTTGCTTAATTATGTTGTTCTTAGTCCGTGTGTCATTAAAACAATGAAGAAGTCAAATGGTTGTTTAAAGCTTGATGGTGTCAATATTTTCTGATCTCCCAGATAATTTAATAGTCTGGATACAYGTATTTGAAAGGAAAAAAAGAAGTTACTTTAGTATATACATGGCTAGGAAGTGGATAAGAACTATAAAGATAAAGCTATTTTTAAAAAGCCCCACAGGACACCACCTCTCTCCCCACCCCAAAAGAAACCCAACTAAGCCAAAACAAAAGAAGAAAAAAAAAAACCCCAAACCAACCACAACTGCTTCATTTATTGCACAACAGTAAAAACTTAGGGTGTATATTCAGGGGGCTTAGTGGAATGTGCTACCTGTTGTACCTTTGCATTATTTTTGTATTTGTAAGGGATCTTCCATTGCAAAGGCAGCAGTTTTCCATATGATTTTCAGATATTGAGAGTGTCCAGGTATCTAAACTCAAACTTTGATGTGACCTTGGTGAAAAAGGGATGAATATTTGCAAGTGCTGACTCAGGTTGCCATATTCAAGTAATAACTTATGGACCTTTGTCTGCTCTTGATTAAAACAACACATTTGTGGTTTTAGCTGCATTACTGCAGCTGTCAGCATCTTTGTTCTTTGTGTGACCAGAAAGCAGGTTCAATAAGTCATTAAATATGGCAAACTTAAGAAACTGATTGCAGTTTGAAAATGTAAATGTTTATATATAAATATAAATATTCTAAGTGTTAACATCCAGATGTTCTCATGTCCACCAACTTCACCGATTTGAACTAAAACCCGGGATTTTTCATATCCTCTGTTAATAGTTTTCTTAATGTTGAAAAATAATTTTTTCACTGTATAAARAATGCTTTGACTCTGTGTTTGCAGATGCTGTGAAGCCACCARTTAGTTCTTTACAACCATCTGCTGAGTTACCCTTGCCCATCAACACTTCACAACCTTCCACGCAAGCAGAATCTTCCCTTCCTTCTCCCTATCGCCTTATTAACGTCCCCCCTCTGGAGTCTTCCTCTGGCCAAGAAGATCCTCAAGACTACTTACTGCTAATAAACTGTCAAAGTAAAAAACCTGAACCTATGAGGTAAGTGACTTTTGGTTCCTATTGATATTTTTTGTTACAGGCCAAAAATGTTTGTGCTGAAAGCATTTTTTTGTTGCTGAGATAGTGAGCATTTGTATCCACAAAATCCACCTGGGGAAGCTGCCTGTAACTTTTCCTTCTTTTCTTTCCATGCATTAAACTTTTTGCTGCAAGAGTAAGTTGTTTATCAGTGCTAGATCCAAGTTGCATTCTCCAAAAGTGTGGGCAGCAATTGCCAACATGAAGCATCACAGTAATGCAGCAATCCAAGCATTCCATGGTAGCTCAGAGTGCTGTGTGGCACAGAGCAGAGAAGTACCCTTCCTTTAGCCACAGTCTGGTGTGCTTAGTCCAGTTTAGGMCTAGGAAAAGCTGGAGGAATTTAGCCTTTCTCCCTTCTGGCATTTGGTGCCCCAGTTTTGCCAGTTAAATCTTTCATGGGGAGGGTTTAGAAAACCTGCTGATTTTAGTGTCACCTGCCAGGTTACCACATCACTGGGTTCAGCAATCTTCCAATGCTATTTGTTTGCTATTACTAGCATGGTTCAGACTCTCAAGCAAAAGACAGTTATTTTATGATAACTAAGAATGCAGGAGATTGAAAACACTCAGTTTCCATATCCTGAATTTCAACTTTCCCCAAATAACAAGTATTTGAAAGGAAGCTCAAATAAACTTTATTTTTTACTGAATAAAGTTCTCTAGAGAAGTGTGCAACAGAAAATTTTAAGGAAAAATTTAGAACTTCTACTGAATTAAATGCCTATTTATTTCTCCAACTGCTACTTCTAACTTAAATAAATGCACAGCACCTCCTGCATAGGAGGAGATGATGTTCATAGTAGCTACCTCGGAAATATCACTGGTACACCAGAATGRATCATGATGGCCATTCCTAGGGTAGGCTGCCCTGGGACATAGTGGAATCTTTGTCCTCTTTTAAAAAATTATTTTAAAACACTCTAAAAGAACCACAAATGGACTTGACTGGACAAGTTCCTGAGGAGCCTTACCTGATTTTGTAGGGTTTGCTTAGAGGTACTGGAGAAGCTGGWGCAGATAATCTCCAGAGATCCCCTCCAACCTTGAGCATTCTGTAGGAGAACCTTATAAATCCCTCTGGTAAGCTTCTTTTCTGCAGTAATTTCCAGTAAAATCTGCTGGGATATTTCCAGAAAAATAAACAAAGCATCATATTCTTTTTGTGAATTTAGACAAGTACATGGCAGGCTGAGAAAAGCTTCCTTTGAGAGTGTTTTTDTGGGTGTTTCACATACTTTCTCAGGGCTATACCTTTTAGTGGCAGTGCCTTGTTCATCAGCACCTTGATGCTCTGCCAGTTTTACCTGTGCCATGTGCTCTGCACTCTCTTGGCATTTTTATCTTGCTCTGTGGTGCCTGAGGAGTTTCCTGCTCCATTTGCTGGTGATTATGTGGTAGGAAAGTATCCACCCTTTCCAGTCTTCTGAATAAAACAGGGGAATGAGCCTACAGTTCCCCCAGAGTATGGAATGTGCAGGTTACAGGCAGCACAGTGTGCCCCAAAACCTCCTGCAGGAGAAGGGGAAACCCAGGGAAAGGTTTCAGTGTTCAGTGGTGTTTAGAAGCTGGTAGTGCCCGTGAGGTGTGTCAGTGCTCCTGCCAAAGCTTTTAAGTTTGGTATAACTTCCAGGATGGCTTGGCAGAGGAATCTTGACTTGGATTTTGGTGCCCTGGCCYRTCAGAAATGTGTCTGATTGCCTGTTTGTTTCTGTGAGGGACAGGCTCAGAGCAGACCATCACAACATGAAGATGTTTTTCAGGAATTATGAAGGTTGGGGTGTGTAATTGACTTTCTGACCACTTCCATGGTGTTCTGATTTTCACAGTTACGAGACGTGTGGGTTAAGTAGGGACTGAGGACTTGATGGAAGCAGGCACAAAATGTGGCAAAATACAGAGTCTGTGATTAGCCAGTAAAATATCTTGAGGAGGGCACTGGTAATGCAGGACAGAGGTAATGGGGAAGGCAAAATGTTGTGGAAAAAAAATGCCTAGGGAGCTGAGAAAGGACTGAACAGAACACTTGGGAGTGTAGAGGTTGTTTACATCAATGATGGTTTTGTAGGAATATTTGAAGACATTGACATTGGGATCGTTTGGGTATTACATGGGCTTAGTTTATCTCATGTTACTTATGTAAATTGCTGTGTCCTTTCATTAAAAATCTGTAATAATCAAAATTCAGAATAACTGTTGTGCTGGACTTTCAGTTCCACCTAAAAGGTCTGTTTATGTTTTATGTCTGGTAAAGTAGGTATTCTGCTAGGTTTGGGCCAGAGTATGGAGCATGTAGACCTTTTCCTATGGAATTAGACCTTTTATATCTGTGCAGCACATTAGTGAGAGTGCACTCTCTGCACTGCCCCAATCCACATCCTTACAGGCAAAGAAAAACCTTAAATGGCTGCATCATTTTCCTATTAATTTGCAGGTTTGGAACGATTTATCTCTGTATCCTGTGCAGACTTAGTGTAAAGTGCAAGGCTTAATGGCTGTAATTAAACAGGCAGGTACTGTTACTTAAATGGTGATTTCTGTGATGTTTTCCCTTTAGGCTTAAAAGTTTCCAATATGCAGAGGGAACATTTTCTATTCTGATTATGCATGTCACTTTACAGGTAATCTGGGGACCATTGAATTTTATTTCAAGGCTTTGATGCTCTTTTCTGGGTGAGATGGGTAACTGTGAAACACAGGGAGAATCTGAGTTGCCTCTTTRGGACTTTTGAGAATTGTATTGTTTCCAAACTAGCAAATAATTTTAAAATGCACCACATACTTTCATGAGAGTGTTTTGGATGTAGCAATTGCAGCTGTAACAATCATGCTGTATTTTTTCTAAAATAGTTTCATGCTCTGATCACCGTTGACTTGAAAAAGAGCATTGTTTCACTGTAGCGTTTAGTGAGATTTTAAGGTTTGTATTTGAATCCCAGATAAGAAAATGCAGCCAAACACTGCTTCCAAACCCCTTATTGTTCTGGCTCATTTGAGAGGTGTATTGAAATACTAAATGCTGTCTTCCTCATCTTTCCTATAACCAGCCAAGGGTCACCCTTTCTCTCAGAAGAAGGGCAGGAATACCTGCTATTAGAAGACTTTGAAAGTAAAAAGATTCCACTGCAGTGAGTGAACAGTAGCCATTCTTGGCACACGTGTGAGAAATTAATCACAGAGCCATTAACATGTCTGAAAACACTGTTTGTTTGAGACTCATCTTGCATGGTGTTCTGAGAGTTTTAACAGAAAAAACTGTGTAACTTTGGCTTCCATTTTCTGAAAGGAGGGCTGGTTATTACTTATTTATATGTCTGTTCTGTTTTTTCTATGCTTGCTGTTGCTGTCCCAGATTGTTGGCACACCAGAGCAGTTCTGCTGCCATTTCGTTCACAATTCAGTCATATTGATTCCTGCAGGTGGGGAAAGAATCAGCTGAAAAGGATGCTTGGCCAAGCCAGCCCGAATACTTTATTTGCAAAAATGAGATGATTACCCCTCAGACTAAAATGCTTTATAAACCTTTTTCCTGGGTCTCTGTCAACAAGTGGATTTTAGCACATGGAGGCTGCCTTTTTGCTGGCCCCATTCCCTCACTGCCCCACCTCCTCTCCATGCACCTTCATGCCCAGTCCCTGTGGATCAGCAGGCTGTACAGTTTTCTTTTCTTGCTCTGTGGAAAGGGATATCCAATCCTAGCACTGAGTAAGGGATAGTTTGGCCACTTATCATAATTTGCCAATATGTGATGCCCTCACATAATAACACCGAATTCATGTCACAGTCATCCTATGCTTAAAAAGTGAGGAATTATCATTGTGTGACATCCAGCTTTGCCATTATTTTTACATGAGGTGTAAAAGCCCATTAATACTTACTTGGTAATAACCAATTGTTAATGGACTATTTAAGCAAATTGATTTCTTTTGTTGAGCTATACTAAACCAAAAAATTAAAATTCCTGAAGTACAGAAATCATAAAAAAGCCCTTAAACCAGAGTAAGGTCTGTTCTTATCAACTAGGCACTGTGCATTTTCAGAATTGTACATGATGTTCTTATCATACCAATGGTTAATGATGACTTTTGAAAATAATTAAAATTCAGAGGCTGAATTCCCTGTCCTCATTTTGGCATAAACTGTTTCAGAGTGTCTTCAAACTTTTAGTCATGCAAAATCGGCTTGCTGATAACCCATTCATATTTTGAGAAGTATTTCAATAGATTAAGCTGTTGATTCCAAAAGATTACTTCTAARATTGTGAAATAAATCAGAACTGCCCTCTTGTAATAAGAAATGTAAGGTGTTGCCTTCATCTAAGCAAATGGCAGATGRTATTTGCCTCGTGTCATGGCTTTTCAAAGTCTTCTGTTTGCACAAGTGCTTGTGGTCAAGAAAGAAGAAGCACCATCCCTTAGACCCAGGAAATCTCCTATATTTAATAAGATAGCATTTGTTGCTTGCATTTCATGGTAATCCTTAGGCACTGGCATTGTAAATATGCTGTTGCTGCATTTTGAGCTTTGGTCATCTATTCCTGCATGATTTTTTGAGATAAATGCAGTGTTTATGCTTTATCCCTGCAGTTAGATTCTTTTCATTTTAAAGTATATCCCAGTGAACTGGAACTAATAATTTTGGTTCTGCAATTGATCATCAGTGTCCAGCTTCTCTACACTGCCCACTTTATTTTTATAGTATAAAAAATAGAAATTCCAATCCTTGCCATATTTGCTCATGTGAAAAACGCTTGACTTTTTCTGGGATTTTGGCCTAAATACTAGGAGAGTACATCTAGAAAGAGAAGAATTCCTAAATCAGTGCTTTGAGTAAAGAGGGAGGGCTGCAGCAGGGGCTGAGCTCAGAGCATTCACAATTTTTATGAACTCTGTAACCTCATACATTTCCTTCAGTCCWATGTGCTCTATTTTTGCAAGTGTTTTAAACTTCCAGTGGTTCATTTGTGCATTTTTGAAGCTCTGAGGCAAAGGGAGTAAACTGTTAACAAACAAGAGAAATATACATTCATGGTCAGCATCATAAGAAATATAGGAAGCTTCACTTCCTTGGTTGCACCAAGAATAAATAATGAGAAAATTCTCTTCTTTTTGGAGAGGTGGATTAAACTGAATGCAGTTTAATGTTCAGAGTTACCTAGAAACCAGTTCTGACCAGTGAGACAGAGCTGAAATCTCTGTTAAAGATAATAACTAGAGCAAAATTACTGTACTTTTTCTAAAAAAAAAAAAAAAAAAAAGAATAAGCTGATTGGAAAAGATAATATAATCTGAAATGAGAACTGTCATAAGCCTCTGGTCCTGATGGAAGATTGTATGCCTCCTGTTAAACAGAACAAAAACCAGTTGGTGAGGAGAACGACATTTTTCTTGAGTGCAGATGTCCATCCYAAGCTGATCCTGTTGGTTCCCCTGCTCRCTGGCAGAGAGGCRCTTCAGGAGTGATTCACCAGGTTTRGATGGATATCTAAGAAGAWGAGCTTGTGTTTCACACAGTCTCCATTTYTCCAATGACTGGAGAGGGAACCTCTCCTCTAAATGGATAGCTAAACTGGATTCCTTTTTCCTCAGGTTGACAGAACCCCAGGAGAGGAATCCAGCTGTCCCTTAAGAAAGAAGATTTTATATGAACTTACTGACAAATGCAATGTGCATAATAAATATTGGTTGTGATCACTTTGAGGTGAAGAGCCTGTTAAATAAGGGGTGAAATGCTTCTTGTGGTAGTCGATTACTTTCTTTATGTATTTTATTCCTCAAAAGTTTTGGAATTCTGTGCTTTGGCATCCAGTTGCTGAATAGAGCTCAGTAAGAGTTGCACAGCAGGTGTTCATTGATACACATGCATGCYGAAATATTTACATATGCATGCATAAATTAACACAATGATACGGTACTGTGGTAATGAAAATAGGAAATATCGTGGTATGTTTGATTAAGAAGTGTGTGGACTGCATGAACTACATCACTAACACCTCCAGTGTTAGTATTTTGCCACTGTATCAACTTTCATTTAAGCAAGCGGCCAGACTGAAGACATAATTTCTCTGCCAGGAGCATGGTAACTGGGGAGATTTACAAAGGAAATAAAATTATTGCAGTGTGGTTACTTTCCATGTGAGTTTACTGGTAGTGGTTGGTACCAGTACTAATGAATGCTCTTCTCATAAAATAATTTCCTAAGAAATCAAAAGTAAAAACTGCTCTGCAGCTTTATCTAACCACACTGCCTCCATTTGCATTCGAGACAAAGCTCTCTGTTGCACATGCAACCTATGGATTTTTTCCCCCTCAATGAACATATATTTTCCTCCTATTTATGATCTTATCTCTTATTTCTCTTTCCCTTAAGTATTTCAAATGAGTTTTATATGGTCAGTACAACTTCAAGCATGCATTTAGGGGCATTACAAGGAGTCATAGTTTTCCTCTAACATTTTTCATACTGATTGGAACTAGCATGTACTGTAAACCCAAGAGTTGAACATCTTACGTTTACCTTTAATGGTCCAAATAAAGTGCTGCTGTTTTGTAGCGTGGGTAAAAAATAATTTAAAAAAACCTCCAGCCCCCAAACAAAAGTGGYTCCAAATTGGCATCATGAAAATCACTTGCTTTATGAAACATCAAMCTATTGTGGAGCTGTTGGTAAAGCTCCACAGTTGTGTCATGTATTTCTCATGCATGGATTTGTACGAACGTGGTGACTGAGGATCCTTAGATACACTGTTTAACAGTTGAGTTCCTGCATCTCATTAAAAAAAAAAATAAATAAAACCAAACTGGGAGACAAGGGTAGATGTTTTGGTTGGTTACATGATGAACGTTGTGTTTATGATTTGCAATATTTGTTTTGCTTTGTGTGTTCATCAACGTTCTAATCTCRCCATCTCACATGTAGATCTCACGCTGACTCCGCAAAATCCAGCTCTTCAGAAACAGACTGCAACGATAACCTGTCCTCCCACAAAAACCCCGCTCCGTCAGGGAGCAAGCACGCTGTGAACGGCTTCTTCCCGCAGCAGGGCGTCTACGACTCCCCACCTTCCCGCTCCACGCTGGCGCTGGCAGACTCCAGCCTCTACAACCTGCCTCGGAGTTACTCCCAGGATGTTTTGCCCAAGGCGGCGTCTCCGTCTGGGACCGATGCAGAAGGAGAGCAGCACGTTTTCAACGCCCCATCAGCATCGTCGCTGGACGCGCAGATGAGGCACATCTCCATTAGCTAYGACATTCCCCCCACGCCCGGCGGTACTTACCAGATCCCGCGAACTTTCCCAGAGGGAACCTTGTCTCAGACTTCAAAACTGGAGACTATTCCAGACATCCCTCCCCCTCGGCCACCCAAACCTCACCAGGCGGCGGATCGCTCTCCCGTGGAAACGTGTAGCATCAGCCGCACCGCCTCCGACACCGACAGCAGCTACTGCATCCCCAGCGCGGGAGCRCCGCCCTCGCGCAGCAACACCATCTCCACCGGAGATCTGAACGTCTTCCGGAAAGGTCGGTGTTCCTACACCATTTCTGTGGAGGAGGATGGGATGTGAATGGTACAAATGGGCTCAATGACACGAGGGGTGTTTCCAACAGGGACAAGCGTGTAGCCCCTCACACAGCGGTGTTTGAAATACGTAAGAAAGAGGAAAGCAGGTTTTTAAAGGGAACCATCAATGTAGATCCATGCAAGGGATCTACATTGCATGGTGGCATTCAGCCTTGGCTGAAAATATTTGAAGATCTAGWCATATTTATTTGCTTATATAACTGATTTCAACACTGCCATTGCCAGTCTTTCAGAATGCCCCAAGTGAGGTTAGTGAGGTGTGGTCCAATCTGCAGAARCTCCAAGTGTTTCATGAAGGTTGGTGTATACCCAGAGCTTTGATATCAACCCYGATTTGGTGATCATTGCCACCAACCTTTCTTTCTGTCCTTGTAGCAGATGTGTTTCCTGCAGTTTTTAGGCAAAATTCGAGTTGTTCCTTGTGGCCACCTAAATGTTGGTACTCCAGATGTACTGTCTTGTGTTTTGTCTTGTTAGCCACTCCTGGACTAAGGGTTTCATTTTCTTTCAGGTTTCTGAAGCAGGTGGGTATTCCAGTGCTGCTTTTAAAGTGAAATTTTGTGCTGGTTAAAGTCAATACTAATGTAAGAGGTGATTTTAAAGGAGAATTGTTTGAAATGAGGGATGAATTGAAGGCWTTTGGAGGAGGCAGGATGCAGGATGGGTATGATCATACAGATGCTCAGACAGCATTGTCCTATTTGTCATTCATTYTGTAGACTGAGTGTAAAATATTTGGTTGTTAGTGTTTTAAAATTACAAAGTAACACTATGAAAGATCTTTGTTTACTTTGCTTATTTTCTCTCATTTGGCCAAGTTTATAGATGAATATTCCTACACTGAAGCTGAGATTGCCTCAGGAAAAGTGATCTTTCTGAAAACATTTCAAATTTGCTGCCTAAAAGCAGAGTTGTTTATCTTTCCTCTGTGATGACAATCTTAAAAAAACTTCACAGTTATTTTCAAGGCAAGTTGGGGATAAACTCTAGAGTTTGGCCAGTTTTTTGCTGGCATCGAGGTCCCACAAAGAACCAGCCTCAGGTCTGAGGACCTTCTTATGGGGACTGCTGAGAGCCAGGACTATGAAAAGGAGGAGATCTKTGGTTCTGCAGCAGTTCATTCCAACTAAAAGCCCCTGAAGACCTCAGTGGGGAGCTGAGAGAAGGGATTCACCTGTTCCTGCAACAGATGGGGTCCTGTTGAATCAGCACTTTCCAAGCAAAGGCCATCAATCAGAAAACCTTTCTCCAGAGCTTAAACTACACCTGCTGTTTGTTTGTTTTAGAATAGGTTTTTCATGACGGCCCAGATTCTCACTCTTACATTAAGTTCGTACACCTGCTCAATTGAAAGATAGACCCTGCTTCTTCTTTTTAAAAGCAAAAATTCATTTCTCTTTTCTTGCCATGGCAAAACGCCACAGTAAGAGCTTCAGGTTGTGACTGATGAGTGCTAAGGTTGTTTGTGAGCACAGTTCTCTCAAACGTGGATAAATTTAGGGGCCACAGCTTCAGGAGAGGTTCTCATGTGCTCTCAGACAGTAAATAATAACAGCCTCTGATGGCTGTGCCGAGTGACAGGAACAGGGGTGATAAACAGGCACTTTCTCTTCTTGTTTCTTTAGAAATTAGTTCTCAAGACTGTTATGATATTCCACGAACGTTTCCGAATGACAGATCTAATTCACTGGAGGGCTTCCATAACCACTTTGTAAGTATGACTCGATGTGATGAGAGGCAACAGTGACAGTGCTTGAATGCTCTTTGCTCCTGTGTAAGAAAGCAAGCTGTGCAGTGTTTGTGATTTTTCGGTTTCGATAGAATACATTAATCTGAGTAGATTAGGTTAAAAGACTCATATGATTCACAGCTGATTGCATAACTTACTTTGTTAAAGGAAATATATGTTAATTCTAGAAAAACAGAAGCATGTTGACAGTGGGAAGTGTTTCAAGTGAAGAACTAGATGAAAATTATGTCCCAATGAATCCCAACTCTCCTCCACGACAGCATTCCAGCAGCTTCACTGARCCCATCCAGGAAACAAACTATGTACCAATGATCCCAGGCACGTTTGATTTTCCATTATTTGGAAAGCAAGTCCCTCCTCCTGCTCACATGGGTTTCAGGTCCAGCCCAAAGACCCCTCCCAGACGGACGGTACCTGCTGCAGAGTGTGAGCCGCCACCAGTGGATCGGAACCTCAAACCTGACAGAAAAGGTGAGGAAAATATTCAAGAGAAGCTAATTTGTATCACCTAGAAAAACAGCGTGGCTTTCTCAACATCTGATTAGTGGAAAATGATCATGTTTTCAGAAATAATTTTTATCCTATGAGATAATCAAAACACAAAGGGGCCCTAGGACTAGGATTATTTTAAACATTGTTAAAACATCACAATAGCAATGCCAAATAACAGCAGAGGTTTAGATTTTATTGCTGTAGTTACTAATGRAAAAATGTCACTGAACTCCTAACATTCAGAAGTGTGGTTTTTTTATATAGAAGACATTCATGATGCAGAGAAAGAGCACAAGGCATTGGGTAGAACACAAATTTATAGTCATAACAATGCTTGGTACAGGATCAGTACACATCCTCATTTTAGAGGGTCCCTTTGAATCACCTATTACCTAAAAACGTAATGTCTTAAATCTGGTGCATAATGTGTTTATTTTCCTTTAAAATAAGAATTGTTTAGGTGACCAGAGTTCCTAAGGAACYGAGAAGATAAGGTTGCAATGTGTCTGTAAAAGACACTTGTGCAGAGAATCACGGATAAATAGCTTGGATTTTTCAGTTTATCRAAAAAGCTTTATCAGCCATCTTACAGAAATACAGGCAAATGCTTAAAGAGCTTGTTTCCATACTAAGTTTTTGAGACAAGATAACTAACTTGTGGAAGAGGGAGCTAAAGAACATTAGGTCAAATGTCTGGACTATTTTGCATTTGAGTAAGTCCTATTTTTAATCTCATATAGTTGAAAAAATTAATATTTACATTGAGAATAGCTGACTTCATTGTGGGAAAGCATGATGGSAAATATTCTGATGATCCAAAATATTCACTAACTAAACCTTTAAATTAGTATTTTTGCCACTAAGTAGAAACAGCCTGTAATTAAGGGAAGTAGGGAGTATCACTATGATAGATGAGCTGTGTGAAATGGAAAGTACCACATCTCATCCTGCCTGTCCATCTTCAAAATGTGAGGCATGGCTTTTTTTAGGACCTTTGGCTCTCTGCTTGTGTGTAATAGTTTATGTGCTGCCAGACAGCAGTTTTGCTTAGTTCTTAAGAAATACTGGGCAGGAACAGATTGATGAAAGCTGGTACTGGAAAACATTCTCAGAATAAACTGGACTGAACTTATTTAAAATATTTTCCCAGACTGGCCAGTTCGTGGTTTTGACTGGTAAAATGTTTGACCTTCAAGAGTAATAAATRTCTGTCTTGAAAAGCATCTCACTTTTGCTGTTGGCAGTGCAAAGCTACCGCACAGATGTCTGCTGGGGCAATATCATTGCTCTTGCATCTCTCTTTTTGGAGCTGAATTAGTGTTTCACATTCTGAAAGTGGCATGTAAGGCTCCTGCTTTGCGCCCATCCTCAAATGCTTTGCAGCTAGAAAGATGTAGCTAACACCAGAGCAAGGATTTTTTAATGTGCTAACATACCTCTTAGTGAGTGTAGAGTGACTGGTTGAAATTTTTGCCTGTAGACTTTTGGCAGATGTTATCACTGAAAAAAATAATAGGATTGTTTAATTTAGTTTACAAGATAAAGTGATTTTAAAGTCAAATTGTCCCTTAAAGTAAATATTGTATAGTAAATGCTTAGGGGCTGAAAAAAAGTTTTGTGAAGATCTTGAGAATGGTTATGATTCTGATTTATCACTGAGGGTTTTATCTTAGTAACACACACACACCGCCTCACTCTCATTTTATCAAATGTGCCACTGCGAGTTTTCCATTGTTGTGAAGAGCAGATGTGATGACACATCAGAATGGTGATATATTCCCATTTCAGTAGCTGAGATCTCCACACAAATAACTTCTTCCAAATACACCTCTGGGAAAATAAAACTGCAGGTTCCTTTGAATTAAGTTAGATAAAGCTCTTGTTTAAGTGGACCTTTACCTGACTAACACAAGTGTGCTTTATATTCTTCTGTGTTGCTTTTTCAGCTTTCAAGTTCTTGTAGCAGCTTCTCTTATCAGACTGTTTCTGCTTATGTAAATGTACTGCAATGTTCTTCTGCTACAAATTAGTGCACAGAAAGTGTCAAGCAGGCCTGTGTGTTCAATAAATCTTTGGCAGACRCAGAAAGGGAGGAAATGAAACACAAAATATTTACCTTCTGGCTATTGCTTCTTTAAATGTTGTGGGGGGTTAGTATGCCATTGGTTCAAGAACTTCTGTTGAAGAGCACTGGTGCTTCTCCAAAAGGAGKAGAGCTTTGTTTTAGAAAATGGGTWAAAAATAATAATAAATAAAAACATCCATAGCCTGGAGATTACAATACAGGTTCATGTAGTTTCACTTTGCTTGCTCACAGCTGCTTCTTTAAATATGGGGAGCTTCCAGTACTTTCTGGAAGTTTTGAAAGTAGTTTCAAAACATGGTGTTGGCTTCCTGCCCCAATAACTTGAATCAAAGCACTTTACTTTTCCTTTAGAGAAGCACCCCAAAGGTAAGTGATGTATTGCTTGGGACAAAATGGAGAGTGCTTGGCAGGTGCTTTTCTGCATTCAYCTGTAACTGAATGACAAAAATTACCTCTTTTTTTTTTTAATTTGGCTCTTTTCAGGGTGCTGTTTCTTTAGTTACATAGAGTCCTTGGCTGTGTAGATTTTTGTATTTCTGCTTTTTGGCCGCTTTAGCTTGCTACAGTTGCACGTAGCCCTGATGCTAAAGTGGAAATGTGTTTGCTGGCAGAAGGCTTCAAGCAGAAGGAATATTGCATCCACCCAAGCAGAGGGTCTCTCTGAATTGCTCAAAAMCAGTKACTGGTTCTGCCACAGAGCAGTKGTGACATTYGTGTTGATGGTGACACTCAAAATAYCAAAATATCATTTGACCAAGAGGGAGCAGCAGAATTAGAGGTGCCCAAATGCAGTGAGGTGAAGGAAGACTCCCGAGACAGGCAAGGCAGCAAAATCAACCAGGTTCTCTTTTCAAGGGAAAGGTTGGTGGTCAAAAACAAAACTGAAAAGGTGTGGATWGTTTTTTATGGGTCAAGAGGAAGAATTAGAGTGATGCAGCATTTGAGAGGTGGGGGTGTCCGTGGGCCTCCAGGCGTGAGAGTGGCCCCCTCCTGCCCCAGGATTTGTCTCCATGGCAAGGACAGAGGGCAGCCCATCTTAAAGCAAGATTAGACTTTGAGACCAAACAACTACAAAATCAGTTGTGTTTTGTTTTTTTTTTTTTTTAATAACTGTTTAGGAGCTGTCCARAAGGAGTCCTTATAGCCACGTAGCATCATTCCATTTGTGAAGMTGAAATCTCATAAGAAATATGTGCTTGCCATCTTGACTGATAAAACAGTTTTTCAATATCTGAATCAAAGTGTGGAGTCAATAATGGATTGGGTGACRGTGGAATTCTTCAAAATCTCAGTTTAATGCCCAACTTACATTTAGTCAGTAGCTTCTTTTYTTTTGTGTCATAGCACGTTTCTACCAAAGTGGGGTTTTTAAGRTTCTGAAAAGAAATATATGAACAGTGAGCATATGGCTGAATGAACAATTTGTGGCCGTGATAGAATGAAAATCAAAAGTTAAATCTCATTCATTTGGATATAATATGTGAATGCAATGTACGAATGAATGCATATAAATGTCATTTTTTGCTAAGTTTTTGATCAATAATACTTAAAAGCRCTTTCTGAGAGAGTTCCATTTAGCACAGGTCCCAGTTCAGGGTCATGGGGAGCTGAGATAGAACAATGCCCTCAGGTTCACTCAGCAGATTGCTGACACAGGCAGTACAGAACGTAGGATTCCCAGCTTACAGCATGATACTGGACTTTGCTCCATTTGTCTTCAATAGCAACTCTGTCCAAATATGGTTAGAGTTTAAATTATTATTTTAAACAAGATTTTCAGTCCTGATATTGGGTTGGATGGCACAGATTATTTTGCTGATTGCAAAAAATTCAACAGTTAGTGCAGTACATTTTAACTTTTTCAGTTTTTGGTTTTGTCTGTTTTTTTAAAGGCTGATATTTCAACAAAAATATATCAGCATTTWATCTGAGGGTCTTCCTACAATTTGTAGTCCACATGATTGCCTTTAAAAGACACTGCTGCTTGGCCCTGGTAATTTTCAACCAGCATGTGGTGAACTTGGATTTAGAGACAGTGAATAATGCACACATTTCTTTTCATGCCAAGAAAATACCCAGTTGCAGCTTGAAAACAGGAAAACAAAATTCTCATGGAGTTGGAAATTGTGATTGTTTAAAAAAAAGTTTAAAATTTTATCTGGTTGTTTTTCTCATGGTTTTTTTTTCTCATTTAAGATGTTAAAAGACATAATTTATGTGGTTAAGCCACAAATATGTGGATTGCTTCTAAAAATGTGGCTGTGTCTTTGCCGCCACTCCCCACGAACATCTCCCAAATGGATTAACTTCAGAGAGAATTCCAGTTTTCTTTCTAAAAGAGCCCAGGCCCACTTTGAAAAGGTGATTGTGTACAGAGTTTTCCCGTGGCAGGAAGCACCTGCTGCATTCTGGTCCCTGCAGGACTCTCTGTGATGCTTCTGGATGACTGGAATAATCTCCCATTGTTAGAGCAGAGCACGGTGCTCTACAAATCCAGGCAAAGTAGGTAGTTGTTAAGGAAATTAAGAATCCTCATTAATCATGATGGTAGCTATAAATAGCCYGATGAACAGTTTCCTTGTTAGACACTCAAATGTGTAAATATTTAAGTTGGACACTGTGAACATTTGCATGTCCTGATACAGCAGGAGCACCACGCCACCYTGAAATAAAACTTCAGAGAAACTCTTATGGTGTTTGTAACAAGAGGAGCTGGCAAATCTTTAAAAATAATGATAATTAGGATCTGGCAACACTGCATTGTTCCACACTATCATCATTGTCTTGCATATTCCCTAATAAAGGTTCACTTATGATCTGAGGCTTTCGGACAAGTAGGCATTGAAAAAATGAGAATGGTGATTTCAATCAGCAGCAAGAACTGAACTAAAGA